CTACAGTTACTAAGTAGGTTATACGTACAATGGACCTCCAAGTAGGCCTGGTTTAGGGAAAGCCCCAATGCAGTCTTTGTGACTTTAGGAGATGAGGATAAAACAGAGATTCTCTCGGGAGCTTAGCTGGGGCTCCTTGCGTGGGCACTGGGAATTTAGGGTTTGGGCTTCAGGGTTTGGGGAATGCACCGCATTATTCGCAGTCTAGACCCTAATCTCTAGCCCCTAAATGATGCAGTGGCTTCCGCTGTCTTTTAGTTTTTCCCGTCAACCCTATGCATCCTTAAATAAACACTATCCATCTATGTATATATATATATAGAGATGCTTGGTTTACTTTCCTTAACAGCTACGCAGTCTTATGAACCTCCTAAACCCTAAACCTTGAATTCAACCCCAAACCCTAAACCCTCAAGCCGAGGTATATACAAACTGCATAAGGCAGTGTCAACATGGAAATTCGCAGCAAACCCCACAGACCCCGCACAAAACTTTGGACCTGATCCGTCCGAAACCTCGATGATCCAACAGCCTTACAGGGTTGGGGTTTAGGGTTTAGGGTTTAGGGCATCCTAATTTCAAGTTGAGCTACACCCAATAAATAGGATTGAGAAACAGCCTCATTGAACGCACCTTCCAAAAGGAATGGTCCTCCACTCAGACTACGTCTCGTCAGACTTGCGCTTTCAGGCAGGTTTCGGCGTATCTTGAGCTGACCCCGCGCTTTAGGAGTTTCGGGTTAGTTTTGGGGGCTTGGGGTTTAGGGCTTAGGGCGTGGGGTCTAGAGCTTGAGGCTTAGTATACTGGGGATATAGAAGGATTAGAACGAGATAATGGCGGTCCTCTGAGAAGTCCACAAGGCTAGCTCTGATCAATAGGGTCCTATATCGTGTTTACATGAGGACGATGTAGGGATGCGAAGTGTATAGGCTTTAGGAACTCATCTTTCCTAAAATCAGGGGCCATTCTTGAGATATAAGCATATAATAGATGTGTATGTATCATATACCTATGTACAGATAGAACAAAGCCCTTCAGGCCAGTGATGTATGGCTTAAGCATGAGCCGTTTAGGGATTAGGCCTTGAGCCCTACAAACCCTAAACCCTAAACCCTTTATAACCCCAGCAAGCCCTTTTAACTGTACGCAAAAGTTTCAATGCGCACACGCCACCAGCCTCGCATTCGTAGGTGAAGTACGAGGGCCGGCACGTGGCCGACAACCAGGCCGTTGTTTTGCAGACGTTCGATTGCTAAGGCATATTTGGCGGGGGGGGGGATGCACAGCAGTAAACCATCTTCATACAGGATAAAACATGTTGGGATGGGGTAAGTTGGCATATCACTGGGCAGATTTACCGGTGTAAAAAATGGTGGTATCATTTGGGGTTAACGGATGAGGTGTTCAGAGGCCTCAAAATGTTTGACCTCCTCGCCCTAAACCGCTGATGTCCGCAAGGTTACGGCCCACGGTTATGCGGACATGATCGGGCCGCTTGATGCGGGCACCTACCAGCTTCCCAGTTGCAATGCGCAAAGAGGGCAGGAACATATTTATCTAACTATATAGACATATGTATACGTGGAGAGATAGGTGTGTCTCAAAATGGGAGCCTCGCGAATACCTACGTAGTACACAGCGGATTATAGGGCTCCCCAGCGAAGGTTAAGTAGCATAGATGTGGAGAAGCTCTCACATACGTGAAGACAAAAAAGTGCAGGTAATGAAGCATGTCATCTACTGGGGTCCTAGACCCCAAGCCCTAGACAGACTAAACCCTATGAACCCTAAACACTGAACCCCAAAGCCTACCCTTCTAAACCCTGTAATTTCCAAACCCTGTCCTAGCCTAAACCCATATACCTAAAACCCCTAAACCCTAAACCCTGTAATCCCCAAACCCTGTCCTAGCCTAAACCCAGAACCCTAAAAACCTCTAAACCCTAAACGGCGAGTCAGGTTCCAGGATTCGAGGGTTTTGGACATTGATTTGAAGGTCTGGAGGATTCAATTTGTAGATATGAGGTTAACCTAAACCCCAAAAGTATGTAAAATAATGGCCGTTATGGCTATTATTATGGGTTTAGGGCTATTATTTTACGTACTTTTGGGGTTTAGGAAGGGTTTAGGGTCTAGGCTTTGAGGTTCAGGGTTTGGGCTTTAGGGGCAAGGGTTTTATGGAACAAGGCTTGATGGACTTCGGGAGTCCTGACTGTCCAAGTAGGGTCTGGGGCTTGGGGTTCAGGGTTTGTTGTTCGGTGTATGGTTTCAGGTTAGCCTTTGGTGTCCGCCTAGCGTAAGGTGTATAAACATCATTCATAGACTCATGTAGGCAGCATCTACAGATTTAGAGCTCCAGGGTTGATGTTGGGCGGTTGGGCGCAGTTACTTTTGTTGGGGCTCGTTCGCTTCCGAAATCTAAGGTTTGCCTTTTGAAGAGGTTTCTAGGGGCACAGAATGGTACAGGGTATATTATAGGGCAACAAGCGGAGGGCCCATGCTTTTCACCTCAAGCTAAGTGCTATGGGATTGTGAGCCTAGATCTGCACATACTGTCATTGCGTCTAGCGTCGCGTTCTAGGGTCTGGGGCTGCTTGCAGTCGCAAGGGGTCCATGTAGCTGTATAGTATATACGTGGCTCCCAAAGTAATGATTTGGGAGCCCCTTTGGAACATATGTTTATGCCATATAGCTACATGGACTCTTTCGGACAAAAGGAATATGACGAGCTTCCGGAGAATCTTGGCAAACAAGCCGAAACCTCTATAAGCGCCAGTCTGTTGAAACTCTCTCCGCACATGTTTAAGGAAGGACTCATTCCTATCGAAGTTTAAACCCCAAGCCGAACCGTAAACCCTGAACCTTCAACCCTAAGCCCTAAGCCTGAATCCCTAAACCTTAATCCCTGAACCTCAAACCTAAACCCCAAGCCCCAAAGCGTAAATCCCAAACCCCAAGACCTGAACCCAAAACCCTGATCCCTGACTGAAGCATCGTAGGCTTTTGATGTACTACATCGCAGGTGCCGGATCGCCGCGGCGCCAAGCATACTTACCATAACCAGTGTAAGGTTTACCTGAACCCCCAAAGTATGTAGAATAATTGCCTTTTGGGCTGTTTTTAGGTGTTTTGGGCTATTATTTTACCTACTTTTGGGGTTCAGGTAGGGTTCAGACATTTCAGGGTTTAGGGTGTAAGGGGTTCAGGATACAGGGTACGTAACCCTTCAATCGTAGACCCAACACCCTAAACCCGTTGTTTCAGGGGATTATGGGGCAGGGAGAAGGGTTGAGGTTTGGGGCTTGGGGGACTGGTGATTTGGGATAAGAATAAGGAGGGGTTTAGGGTTTTAGGGTTTAGGGTTTGTGTTTAGGGATGTTACACTCAGGCGGGTTGCGCTTTTGGGGGCCTAGGGCACTAACACTCCAAAAGTAACCCGCCATTATATACTTTGGCAACGAGGCCCGGCCGATAACAAGCAAGAATGGTCCAAAAAGTTGGAGCTCAAAGATGCACGACAAAGTGTATCAGGCCCACCACCTCCAGTCTGAATTGCAGCAGCTGGAAGAGGCATGCGATGATGACTATGAGCCCTCGTCCTCTGCCAACCGCATTGAGACGCCAGGACCCACGATCGAGGAAGTCCTGAGCGGAGTGTGGTCAGCTCAGCTTTGGCGAAGTCAAAGCTCAGAAGCATGCGGTCTATAGTCTCAGGGCCGCATAGGGACGTCAATGATTGGCCCGCATTTTTACATATTCCGTTGCAAGGGGTATGTAACAGCGGCTTTCGCGACACGCCCCAACCCCTTGAGATTGAACGTGCTGAATTGTAGGTTCAGACAGCTACTGATGAACCCTAAACCCTAAACCCCTAAGCCCTAAAACTTACAAACCCTAAGCCCTAAACCCTACTAGGTAGGGCCCAGGCTTTACGACGAGTCAACAGTCGGGTTTAAAGTTTCACACCCCCCCCTACTCGAGTTCCCCTTTAAGTGGGGCTATTGAGGCAGGCTTGGAAGAGCAAAACAGTGCTGGGTTAAGGGCGTCACCAGAGTAGTATTTGATTTGGGGATACTAGGGTACCCAATGTAGCGTAAGATTATATCCTCCTTTTGGGGTATAGTATTTATATACGGAATATTATCTTACTAGGTTCAACCACCAAAAAAAAACGCTACTCAAGGGGTTTTGGCTTGCAGGATTTGCATGAGGTACTGTCAATATGAGCCTTCAAAAATGGGATTCTTGACAGTGGACATAGGGGATGCCATGAACCTACAGCAATTATCCAACAGTTGTAGTTAGACGGCGTTCGCACCCCTGAACCTTAAACCTTGAACCCTAAACCCGAAGCCGTCCTCAGCCTTGAACCCTAAACCCTAAGCCTTAAGCCTATACCCTCAAATTGAAACCCTGAACCCAAACCCGTGCAACCAAATTCAAGCAACCAAGCTCTGTGTTGACATGCCCTTGGGATGCGATTGCGCTAACTGTCACGATTAATTAGGCCTTTTACCTAGACCCTCCAATGTAGTTCCTGTTTGGGTTTCGTATATTTTTGGGGGTTACAATTCTTGTTAGGACTGCCAAAAAATTGCTACATTGCAAGGTTTAGGTATGGTTTAGGATTGACATGCCTGAGAGGCTTGAGGTTACGTGTACTGTTTGTATTTGAAATGTTTGGAAAGCTCAGTGTTTAGGGTTCGGTTCGCCGTGTGTATTCGAAATGCTTGGAGGGCATTAGCATACAAGGGTGTGGTATTTGGAGTGTAGGCTTTAGAAATCATCCCTAAACCCTAAACCCTCAAACCCTAAACCCTAAACCTTCTTCAGGGTCCTGGGAGATGCTTCTAATCCCCTGATTATGAAAGATTCGCCGCCTGATAACTAGTGAATCCTCCGCCTAATATCTGATTCTGTTATCTTCCAGGGGAAGTTAGAAAAACCCAAACCGTGAACCCTAAACCCGAAACCTAAGTGGGGGCTATGTTATAAGCGGATCAACAGAACGACCTCAGACCACCCCCGATGAGCTGCGACCACTTTCTGAGATATGGGGTTGGATCTAGAATTCCTTTGGGGACTTTATTTGGCACTCCTGTAGGAGCATTTGGAGCCCCCCTCAAACCCAAACCCCGAAACCCCAAACCCTAAATCTTTGCACCCCTAAGGGTCCAAGAACCCAAATAATAGGCTATATCATAGTATTGGGGCCCTAAAACCTAAAACCTAAACCCTAAACCCTAAACCCTAAGCCCTAAACCCTAAACCCTAAACCCTAAACCCTAAGCCCTAAATCTTCACACCCCAAGCTTAGGCCCACGGCCTTCCAGCTCTGTAGCAACTCGTTAGTCGACCTCCGCCTCATCTCGAAAGCGACGTACGCCTCCTGGGTCTTAGGTGGGTTGAGGGATTAGGGTTCAAGGCTTGGGGATTAGGGTTTAGGGTTTAGGGGTTTAGGGGTTTAGGGTTTAGGGTTTAGGGGTTTAGGGTTTAGGGTTTAGATTTTACGACGTAGGGTTTAGGGTCTAGGGCTTGAGATCTAGGATAGGATTTAGGGGTGAAGGAGGTATTGTGTCCTTTGTTGAAGGCGCTATAGGGATACCTATGGTTCAGCATGTGGGAGTGCTGGGATTAGGATGGTAACAGATTTAAGTTTCTAGGTATGAGTTCCCTAAGCCCTAAGCCCCTAAACCTATTGGATTGCTTTGGGGAACCTGCTTGTAGTACTTTTTGGGACTCCTGGTGTAGATGTTGGGGCTTAGAGGTTGGGATGTCGGGGTATCTGAGAAGAAACTTATGTTTTTGGTACATATGTATATATGTATGTATATATCTATGAGCTATAGTCTACACTCCTTAAAGGGAGATATATAGGGAAAGATATAGGGAACTACTATAGGGGTTACTAAGGGGAATACTAGGGGTTTAGATTATAGCTCATGTATATATATATATATGTATCTAGGTATGTTTGGATACAAGCGCATCAAGGCATTATTTGGAAACGCCAAGTGCAAGTCTCCCTGTGTAGAGATGTGAAGCCTGATGATTTTGTGCTGTGGTTTAGAGTGTGCATAGAGTCTTTAATACATCTTTTGTTTTAAAGATTGCTCTCTCTCTCTCTCTTTCTCGCTCTGTCTGGTGGATTTATATCAAGGGGACCGATATGTTTGAACGTGAACCTGTGTTTTTTGCTGTATTTCCCTCATGTTGATCGATATGGCCGGTCATCGTCGTGAGAGAAATCTCGCTGGTCATTTTTGAGACTTGGGTCTTTGCCCCACACAGCAGCGGTCCTTTGAGAGGTATTTAAGGGGGTGATTATAATTCCAAGTACCTATTAAAACTTGCCTGTAAGCGGGTATTACCTAACCCCAAACCTCTGGCTGAGCCTCCCATTTAGCAGTGCCCGCCACACCGAGCACAAATCCTGCATGATCCTAAGTACCCTACCTTGGGAACTATGGTAGGTCATGCAGATTTTTAGTATCAACAGTAGTTTCAGGTCCTTGAAATAGCCTGGCCCAGAATTGCAGAAGAAACTCAGCCACCGAGGTACGCCAACAAGACTGAAGAGTGGATGTGCACGTATGGAGCCGAGAATGGTCCTATCCTGGAAAGGTCAGTTTTGTTGTGTGTTTTTTTAGCTTGGATACCTCCACCCAAAATCAGCTCCCCATGACAATCGTATGACGCTTGCAGGGCCTTTTGTTGTGTCCAGACTCTGTGGTTGTAAAGTTATGCTACAATACCTCAATAATCATATACTTACCCAAAACCTGTACTACAATTACTATTACCCAAATCCCAAGTACCTAATTATTGCGTACATGGACCCTCCGGGATATGTAGCGCCTTGCATCGGGCGTTGCTTTGGGGCTTACGGTTTAGGGGTTCAGGGGCCTTGGAGGTGTTGTTTCAGGTTTGGGGACTTTGTGCCTGTGGGCTTAGAGTTCAGCATTCGGGGTGTAGGCCTGTGGGTCAAATTTACGGAATACACTCCTCCCGCACGTCCAAGCTTGGATACCTTGATGGCTAAATGCTAAACCAGTACCCTACAACCCTAAACCCCGTATCAACATCTACTTGGGCCACATCCAACAGGTGCATGGAGGCTTGTGCTTGCAAATAGGTTGAACAGCTGCTAGTGCGTAGGGCTTCTAGTGTTCAGTAGTTCGGGGCTTTAGGGTTTTAGTTTTCAGGAGTTCAGTCACCCTAAACCCTAAACCCAAACCGCGTTTTTAGGTTTTAGGTTTCTGCAGCTTTAGCGTATGGGAAAGCATCTGCTCGAACGAGACAAGCTGTTTTTGTTTGAGCTTGGGTCTCAATGTTGCATCTGATGTGTTTTAGGCGTGCCAACTAGTACAAAGGACCCCAACTCCTAACCCCTAACTGAAAACCCAAAGCCCTAAACCCATTATAGTAGTTTCCATGCTTCCATTATCCCAGTATTACCCCTATATCCCCCCCTATACCCCCTGAAACAAAGACTACGGGAGTCTGAGGGGCTACACAGATGCGTGGTATATTGTCAATGGAGGAAAGGTTGGATCACCTTTATTAAGTCCCCAAACAAACCAAGGACCCAAATGATAGGGTTTTAGGGCCCAACTACTATGATATGAACGGTATTTGGGACCTAAAGCCCTGTTGTTTGGGTCCTTGGAACTTTAGGGGTCCTTAAAGGTTTGGAATTCATCTTTAAGCTCCTAAAGTCTTGGGACTTAGGGAACGCAAGGGTCCAAGTACCCAATCATCATACACCTTCCCCGCTTTAGGGTTTAGAGTTTAGGGCTTAGGCATTAGGATTATGGTTTGGGGTTTAGGTCCAAGTACCCAATAATCATACACTTACCCAAAACCTGTACTACAATGACTATTACCAAAGCCCTAAGTACCCATGGAGCCTTAGGGAAAGTTTTGGGGCCTTGGATTGTTCAAGATTTTCTCTATCAACCCTTAAGTCCTATATAGGCATCACGTAAGGTTTGGGACCCTGAAGGTTGCCTCCATCAACCGCAGGTTTTGAGGGTTTTAGGGTTTTAGGGTTTAGGGTTTGGGGTTTAGGGTTTAAGGTTTAGGGTTTAGGGGTTTAGGGTTTGAAGGGTTGACATTCTGAGGAGCTTTGACAACTTGGATACTTCTCGTACTGCCCCGCCCCCCCCGCTTTTACTACCTTGAGTTGCCTGGGTACCTCCAAATATCGAAAAGCTGGGGGGAAGGAGTATGGAGGGTTCCATAGGGTTAAGGTTTTAGGGTTTCGGGAACCCATGACTGGAGCCCGAATCTGAGATGCCTATATAGAGCATAGATTAGCAGGAGGCTTTTTGAACGCCTACGAATCAAATTCACCCTTCTCGTAACACTCCAATCTAGTGGAAACAAGTCTTCATTACAGCTCTTGCGAGGAATCATGGTTACAGCCCTTCTGGAGTGCAAGCCGCAGATGTGAAACAAGAGGATTTTGGCATCCTATGTATCCCGGGCGCCTACAACCGAATGGAAATGAGCATGGAAGATGATATGAACACTGGGTTTGCATGGGGTTTAGGTGGGGCTCTGTATCAGTTACCTTTCCGGAGAGGGACCTGTGGTTATACTTGTAGCCATTTGATGGTCATATAGGGTCTGCCTTTGTGGATGTTGGGGGAAGCCAAGTCTCCTTACCATTCTGATGCAGAGCATGTTCGCTGGGTCGTCCGGCTTCAAGGTTAGCTGATAGATTGGGGCGTAGGTCGTAGATAGCTTTGCTCCGGCCATGGAGTTTGGCAACCTTGGGTGGGTGAACCCGATGAGTGCCGATCCGGGCGGAGGGTTCGGAGGTGTTCCCAAGGATGACATTTGGGGCCATCCTAAGCCGGGCGGCTTTGGGGGAACTCAGATGGGTGGTTCCCAGGTCCCGGGGATGATGTCTCCAGCCCCGCAAGCGCCGCAAGGCCCCAATCCCTACCAGCAGCAGTATGCCCCAGAGCCAAAGGCGAACATGGACAGCTTCTCCTTTCAGCCGAATCCACCAACGGTGGTGTCCTCCGCCCTCCCCCCGCAGCAGCATCAACCTCCGACAAGACAGGCACCAGCCTTCCAGGAGACGTTCGGTCAGCCCCCACGCCCCATGCAAGGGTCTCAGGACTTCCGCTTCGGGATGCAGCCCGAAGCTGTGCGGGGCTTTGAGGCAGAGGGCCGGGCTGTGAATCCTGGTCCTGGGCAATCTGGCCTGCCACAGCAGCCGCGGCAGGAGACGTGGCCACAGACACCACCAAGCTTTTCAAACCAGTATGCGCAGCCTGGCGAGAGGATGCAGGGCTGGCAACCGCCCATGCATACTGGTTCGCATACGCAGCCTAGCGATAGTCTGCAGGGTTGGCAACAGCCAACGCATAGCGAATTTCCAGGACAAGGGCCGCAGGGACAGTTCCAGCCCCCACAGGGCCAGTTCATGGCTCCACAGCCTGGTTTTCCACAAGGTACGCAGGATTTTCCCGGCGCCCAGCAGGCTTCCTTTGCACAGCCCGGACAGATGGGAGCCTTTCAGCCATCCATGCAGCCACCGCAGGAGACAAAGCAGTGCACCTGTGGACAAACCGCAGCCCTGCTTACGGTGAAGAAGGAGGGCCCAAACATGGGCCGCAACTTCTGGAAGTGCGCCAGCTGTGGGGCATTTGACTGGGCAGATGAGCCGCCCCGAAGTGGCCAGCCCAACCAGCTTCCACCCCAAGTAGCCGATGGGCCGCCATGCTTTTGCGGCCAGCCCAGTTTAGGCCTTACAGTTCGTAAGGATGGCCCGAACCAAGGTCGACCCTTCTATGGCTGCGCGCAGCGCGGCTGTCAGTTCTTCCAGTGGGGAGATGAACAACCACCACCCCCTGGGCCCCCATGCCTGTGCGGCGTGGCGAGCGCACAACGCAAGGTGGCGAAGGAAGGCCCCAACAAAGGCCGGCCCTTTAGCGCCGCGGCCTCAGCTTGTGATAGGATGGGGGCTTAGGGTTCCGCAACCCCAGAAACCATGGTTCTGATAGAGTCCTTATTATGGAGGTTTCCGGTTAATTATCAAATCCCCTCGTCATCACTTCAGCTTCTATAGAGAGAGATCTTCCCTGATGTTTCAGCTAGAGATCACACAGTCCAAAGTCCAAAGACTTGTAGCTAAGGCGGATCCTGTACTTGGATTCAGATGGCGATGGATTTAACAGGACACGAAACCCTACCTAAACCCTATCCACGGGCAGTCCATTGTGCACATTTCAAGGCAGGTAGATCCCCCAAAAATCTCCGAGATGGGACAGACCTTCTGAATAACTTCTAGGTTCCCTTCTGAGTACCTATGAAGTGTCCTCCTTTCGGGGATCTATCCTAAACCCTAAACCTTAAACCCTAAACTTCCAAAACCCTGCACCCTGAACTCCTAAACCTTCAAATCCTAAACCCTGAACCCTACACCCGAAAACCCGAAATTCCTAAACCCTTCAGCCCCCAAACCCCAACGGGGGGGTCCCCCAGGCATCTACCCTAACAAGAACCTACTTCTGGCAAAGAGGGTAAAGGTGTTTAGGCTTTAGGGTTTAGAATTAAGGGTTTAGGGTCGAGGATTTATGGGTTTGGGGCTAGGGTCTAGGATTTAGGGTTGAGGGTATAGGGTCTAGGATTTAGGCTTTAGGGTTTAGTGGTTTAGGGTCTAGGGTGTAGGGTGGCAGTGTAACGCCTTGAAATTTAAAGGCTTCTTTATAGCGGGCCTTTGCTGGTATCCCCTAAGTAAAGTGCTTTAACACATGGGTATAGCAACTATATGAGTTTTCGAACTATATGGCTTTAGGTGTTGAGGGTTTGGGGTTATGCATTGTTCTCAAGATTATGGGCCCCTTTTGGTGAAGGATTATATTACGCCACCTACTATCTAGGAGTACCACAACGGGTCCCTAATTCCAGGAACTACCCACATGTACATAGTGCTTATATCCCAAGGTTCTTAGTGTGGCGCCTGCATAATTACCAACATAATGGTGGTATAGGGTTCCGTAATTGGAACTCAGAATGATGTCAGTATTTATTCAGGCCCTTTACTATCCAATTCTAAACCCTGCTTACTAAAAAGCTATGAGATTCCCTACGGTCCACTCTAAGGTCTGTGCCCGAAAGGCCTGCGATTTCTTTGCCTGGGGTGACGAGGCTGGATGAAGTTTAGGGTTGGGGTTTTAGGGTTTAGTGCTCGGGGTTGGGTGTTTAGGGTTTGATGTTTAAGGTCAAGGGTGGGCTGAATGGTTTACGGTCTGGTGCCCGGGGTTTGGGGTTTGCGGATTTGGGGCATTCTGCTAGGACATGATGGTAATGCCAAACCCTAAAACCTACGAGGCAATTAGTTTTACGGTTCCTCGATGTCTCTGCCGGGCTCCTAGCAGACCAACTGCTGCAACATTCTGTTGATACTCAAAGCCCTGCGTGACATTAGTATACTTTAGTACCTGATTACCTAGGAATACGGTTCTTAGGATCATTCAGGATTCTTAGTATCCACCGGTGTGGTGCTAGTCCTACGCTTATCATCATCTTCGTCAATATCTTCTTCCTTCGGGCGTTTATTACTTCATTGTCCT